TACTCATACACACACAAAAACACAAATAAACACACACATGTAGATTTATGTATATATAACATCATATATATAGATCTATGCCTATATATGCACATATATACAAATATATGTATATATATACACAGATCTATTTATATATATTATATGTATATATATACACAAATCTATGTATATATATGTCATAAAGTTAAGGAAAAAAGGGGAAACAAGCGAGAGAGACAATGTAGGTTTCCTTTTCGTCTTCGTCTTCGATTTCATGTTTGATTTTGTCTTCGGCTTCTTCATCTTCGTCATCGTCATTGACTTTCAGAAGAGAGAGAGAGAGAGAGACATAAGAGAGAAAGAGACGAAATAATAAAGGAAAAGGAGATTTTTGTAGTTGGCAAAAAAAACCCTTATTTTGTTGCTAATGAAATTCGAAGACTGAACCTCATTAATTGTAAATAGTGAGGCACGCGCATGGCTTTTTTTTTTTTTTTTTGTTGTTGATGTTTTCATATTTTGGCATTGTTTTCAAAATAGGGTAGTAAAAAAAATGAAAACACATCCCCAACGCATTATGGCTTTTTTTTTTTTAGCAAAAAATGAAAACAAAAACAAAAAAAACACAAACACCATGTTACCAAATGCTACCTTAGTGTGTGTGTTTTGGTATATTAGTTTTGTGTGTGTGTGTGTGTGTGTTTTGGCATATTAGCATGCATGTATTTTAGTGTACTAGTGGAGCTCACATTTACACCAAAACAAATCATGGTAATAATTCTTCCACTTTAAAATTTTCAAAAAAATCAAAATTCCATTCCACACACATATACAATATGCATGTATCAAATATTAAATTGATAAGAATAAATATTGTACTTGATCTTAACCAAAAGGAGAAGAAAGATATATAGAGAATGCATGTGTGTATATATCGTGTTTTGGGGTTAAAAATGAGTCAATTTGGTGTAAATTTTAACAAATTTAAAGTTTTAATTATTCAAATCTACACGAGTTGTTTACTTGAACAACTAAGTACTTGTCATTGCATCATATTAGAAATCTTTTTTATTGAACTCATGGGATAAAAAATAGCCAAAGAAAGAGTGGATTCAGATGGAAAATGGGTGAATCCATTTAGACTCGTCAACGAAAATAGGTTTATATAATAAAATAACTTACAATTCAAATCTCAAAAGATAAACAAAATGACTTTTGCTATTCGTGGTTGAGATCGCTTTAAATTTTACTTTAAAGTTAATTTAACAACTAATATTAACACTCTAAATCTCATAGGAAAAATAAGCTTTTAATGGTGTGTTTGAAGTGACTTTTTAAAAGTATTTCAAAAAATTATTTATCATAAATACCTTAAAAAAAAATTAGTGTTTGAAATCGCTCAACCACTATCTCTGCCACCACCACCACCGCCATTACCACCACTGCCACCACATCCGCCACCACCGCCACAACTACCCCCGCCATCACTGCTGCCACCACCACCACCACCATTGTCGCCACCACCACCACCATCGTCGCCGCACACTATCACCGCCACCCTCGCCCCCACCACAGTCATTGCCACTCACCACAACCATCATTGTCTCCTACCCCTACCACTACCGCCAATCACCTCACCCCCATTACAAGCTGATACTTAAATTCCATAATCTTTTCTCTATTTTTGTAATTTGATTTTGAATATAAATACGAATATGTTTATTGTTTATCATTTTTTATTACTTTGTGCCTTCAGGCACAAACATTAATTAATAGGTTTATATGAAACCAACTTAACAAGATACGTATTTACCAGAAAATATTAAGACAATATGAACTCATTACATACGGTTTATATATAATTTATACATGACATGAACTCAATTATGCACGATTATAAATAAGTTGGATATGAAACCAACCCAACACTACACGATCCATTAACAGTTCTATTCTAAGAAGTACAAAGGGTGTCGAGATAGGGGGAATTCAATATCTAGTTTTTTTTTTGGTAAATATCACTTGAACCCGGCAGCTCAATGTTATATTCTGATTCAGTTATGTAATGTCATATTTTTCTTTCTTTTTTCTTTTTTTTTATCCTTTTTCCAATTATGCAGATTCATCTCACGACGAGGCTGAGAAAACATTTGTGATTATCATTGGATTGTTACTTGGGGTTGCTCTAATTATCATTTTCTTAACTTTCATGAGAAAGGTGTTTGGAGGAAATGGTTTGATATTTTTATTAACTTTTTCTTTTCTTTACAAGCAATGTTATAGAGACACAATTCAAGAGTCTAATTAGAGACCTAATTCAATGTAACTATGGAATTGAAAGTGAGTTTCACCTAACATTAAAACTCACAATTGCATCCCAGATTAGGTCCCCGAATTAGACATTTTCCTTTCTTTTCTTTTCTTTCATCTAGTTGTTTTTCATTTTCTCAAGCATTTCCTATTCAAAGTGAGACACCAAGAATTCATCGGTATATTCTACACCATTTATTTAGCTTTCTTTTGCCTTTTGGAAGTAAATAAAACACACTTTGCAAGAAAAACTGGAACAGCCTTGGATCATCACTTTCCTCTGATCTGCTTTTGATTGCTCTTTTCTCTTCCTTTTTTCATTCATGATGTCAACTTTTTCCTTCTTTAAGAATTACTTTAATTTTCTATCCGAAAGAAGATTGCAAAGAAGAAATGGAAAGATGAGTCAAGGTGCATGGCTTTTTCCCTCCTGCTAAGTTTAAAGAACGAAAAAAGAAGCAAAGATTCCATCCACCACTTAATAAAGTTGTATTGTCTAATGTGAAAAAAAAATGGCGCATTATTTCTGTAAATGGACAGGATGATGTTTGTATCTGATGTTGTCTTGGTTGGTGTTGTTTTATCTTTAATGGCATTTGCTTCAAATATGGAACAACTACAACTCACAAGAGAAACTTTCATTGTATCCACGCATATTTTGGACTCTTAGTGTAACCAATTTTCCATTCGTAACCGACCACAAATAACACGTATTAGATTTCATTTCCTGAATTGGGAAGGATAGTATTTAGGAATCCCCTTGTCTCTATTGAAAATCGATCTAAGTCCGTCAAATCAAGTTGTGTACAACTTCTCAACCATGAATTGCAGGCAACATCACCGTGCTTATCTCAAGTTAGATGCAATGTTCATCGTACCATTAGTTAAATCCTACTAATTTTTGCAGGACCTTATATCACTATGACTCCACATTTATTTTATTTTTTTCGGTCTAAATATTGTAGACATGAACATGTAGTGGATTACAAGTTACTAACCCGTGATTAAAGAATCTCCCTTTCATCATTATAATACTATGACTCTGCATTGTGCAATGTAAATGATTTTGACAGAGATGTTGGTGGCCGTTGTATGAATCTATTTGAAATTATCAAATAAGTTTATTAAAGTCTGATCTGTTTTATATTATACTATATTATATATATATGTGTGTGTGTGTGCGCGCGCGCATGCGTGTGCGTGTGTGTAGGAGAAACATTCAGTAGTATATTCTATGATCAATTGTCGTGAGCCTTTGAATGCTTAGCCACCAAGGAGTTCATAATGGAGTAAGAAAAGGTAGCTCCATGCAACAAAGTAAGATTGACAATCACAAGATTAAAAAAGGTTTGACCAGTACAAGAGTAGCAACCCAATGGCAAAGTAAACTTTATTTTAAAGAAGATTTGACAAAAATAAATACAAGAAGAAGAACTTTATCTCAATCATGGTTAGACGGCCTCACCTTTATGCTAGGATAAGATATTATCCAAGATAGCATTAGGGGTGTTCAAATTTTTGCTTAGTCGCAATTTTCTATCTTATTCGATCTTATCCGACCCTATTAAACGCCTAGTCGTAAAAATTGGGTAGGAATGCGAAATAGTAATTAATTTTTGTATATATATAGATAAACTAAAAACCCTAATTCCCTAACCATATAATTTAAACTTTAAATAATTGTCATTGTATCTGTTTAACAATTATGGAATTGAGGTTTATGTTTTCTTGTAATTTTTGTTATAATTGTTTTAGGTTTTAGTGTTATTAGTTTATTGTGTTGTTAAATTGGTGCATATTATTTAAGTGAATTGTTAAAATGATTCAAAATTAAAAATTACAAAAATATTCATCCATTTCCTACTAAAATGATTTAATTTTTATTTTTTAATTTTGTATCAATAAATGACATAATATACAAAGAATTTTAGTTGTAAAATTTAAAATATTTGATATTTTATCTTTAATTGGAGTATTTTTTATCTAAGTATAACATTTTAAACTTGAGGGGTCTAATATTACATGAATACAAATTTCAAGAGTTCTAAGTATAATTTACTAACAAATATTCTAACGAATATTAATGATAACAATAATGTTATGCTGACCAAATTTGGAACCCAAATGACATGACAACATATTATTTAAAGTTTTTATTGGGGTCCAAATGACAAAACACCAAATAAAAAAGCCCAAATCAGCTGCCATGTCATTTGGCTCCAAATTTGATCCTAAAATTTGATCAGTCTTGTATTATTGTTAACGATAGAGGTTTATATTAAGGGTTTAAGTGGTTAACTCACAAATCTCAAAGAGCCCGATGTAATTCTCACTGTTTCCCCCATATCTCTCTGCATGCATGCTCCGGCGACGAGCGTGATATCAAATTTGCGGCGAGTTCACCTAAAAACTCCTTCCTTCTCAGGAGAACCTTGGTGTTTTTTGGGCGACTAAAAGAGTCAACCTATCAGGTACTCTGTTCGGTCGGAGATTAACTTTCTTATTTTCGCATAGGTGCTTTGCTCGTGTGTGAGATTGCCTAATTAATCTCATATTGCAGAAGACAATACCCAGTATATATATATATATATATATATATATAGCATCTCAATATTCCTCAACAGGGAACCAGCATAGTCAATCCAGTCACTCACATCAAATATTACATAGAAGAAGACATCGTTCTTCAATAACATAAGACGACAATCATGGATGAGAACTCTGCCCATCCTTTCTCTAACAATGATGGTGCAGTTGGTAATCACTGTGTCTCCCTTTGGGTGCTTATGTGTTTTTTATGCGTTTGAAACAAAAGATTTAAATGTTGCAATCTGAGCATTGTACTACAGGTGTCTGACCCACAGATACTAGGATAGTGGCTACCCCTAGTGTCCAATGAATCAAGTTTGCACGAATCAAAATAAGGTGGGTACACGATTCAGATTACTCAAAGTCCTGACGTTAAATTATAAGTCTAACCGTAAATTGATTCATGATATAAGTACTCTATGTCATAACTTCAACTCCAAATCATAACTCTAATTTGTTATTTCTTTATTTTGGTGTTCTTTAAAATAAATATTTAATAACTATGTGTATACCAATATATTATTCTATATAAATGTTACAAAACGAACCACGATTCAAAATAGTGTACCACCTAAGGCTACTCCCACTGTATCCAATGATCAAAATATTGTTTCGAAATATTCGAAATGTTTTCGTTTTCAAGGAAATTGAAACGAATTAGTGATGAAATCGAAATTCTAATACTTCAAGGTATTCCATAATATTTCGAAATGTTTTGTTATATTTCAATTCATTTGCACAATTATTTTAGAATGTTTTAAAGTATTTCAAGATATTTTGGTATATTTCGATCAATATTTTAAAAATAAATTCTTAAATTTTTTATTTCTTTCAATTCTGTTTTCAAAAAAATTCGAAACGTTTTCGTTTCCTAGTTGACTGAAACAATGTATCAAAATAAAATTTTGATCCTTGACTATATCGTGTATTAGAACAAATATCATACCACATACTAAATCGATCCACGATCCATTTAATGTTGGTACGAATGGTTTGTTTTAAATCTGGGCATATTTTTTATTATTCATCAAGGCACAAGAGAAACCAATGATATAAATTCATCTCATACTTTCTTTTTTTTTTTCTGATTTCCTCTTTCTTTGTATTTTTCAGAATTTTTTAAGAATATATTATCTGCAATTAAGTTTCTATAAAAATAGTGATATGTAGCAAAGTATGAACCTTTTTGAGTCTTTACAGAAATTTCAAGGACACTGAGAGAGGTTCCACCAGGTGATTACCTATTTCAAATCAAATTGTTCTCATTGCTTTCCAAGGCAGAAGAGAAAAGATTTGAATCGAGTGACTTTGAATCAGGTGGCTACAAATGGTGAGTTGAAATAGAAATCCTTTCTTCTCACTTGTGGGAAGTCTTCTTGCTTTTTAAAATCCAAGATAAGTGTTCTCCTTGTGTGCTTTGCCTAGTTTGCAGGAAATTGTGTCTATATCCGAATGGATATGAAAAGGAAAATGGGAAAGGGCATATCTCTCTTTACTTGGCAATATTGGAGGCAGATACATTACCTTTTGGTTGGGAGGTTAATGTTAAATTCGAGTTGTTTGTGTATGATCATATGCGAGACAAGTACTTGACCCTCCAAAGTAAGATTTCTCAAAATGCACATTCTTGCACTCGTAGTAATAATAAGTCTGTTTAAGTGATCAGAAAGAGTATAACTTACATTTTTTCTTTGTGTAACCGGCGTCTATCATGTATATAGATGTTGATGGGAGACTAAGACGTTTCCACAGGTTTAAGACGGAGTTTGGCTTTGCCAAATTACTTTCCCTTGAAACTTTCAAAGATGCTTCTAACGGATACCTTATTGATGACTCCTGTGTGTTTGGAGCTAAGGTTTATGTCATTAAATCTACTGGCAGAGGAGAGTGTCTTTCTTTAAAGGAGGAAACTTGTGACAATAGTTATTCTTGGGAGATCAAAAATTTTCAGAAATAAAAGTGCGTTTGTTCTCCGAACCTTTCACCATTGGAGAGTACAAATGGTTTGAGCCCTTGGAGTTCCTCACTTAATTCTTATTCTCTATGTACCATAACTAGATGGAATTGTTTCTTATATGATGTTCTCTTTATTGATCTAGGAAGATACTTGTTTATCCCGAAGGACAGGGCAGTGAAAAGGGCAAAAGCTGATGTGTGTTTCTATGGTTAGATAATTGCGAATCCATTCCAACCAAGCGAAAATTGTATGTGGTATTTAGCGTCTTGGTAAAAGACCAAGTCAATGGCAAACACCACAAAATGAAAGGTGAACACTTGTCCTCCATCTTTAACATATGTTCTTTTTACAGAGACTGAGAAACTGGTTTGTCACTATTTTCCTTTTAAAATTAATTTGTTCACTTCGTCTAAAATTTCCTCGTAATTATTCTATCACAGGTGATTATTGGTTCTGTGACCTACGTAAAGGCTAGGGTTTCAATCTAATTTCTCTTCCTGATCTGCATGACAAATCGAAGGGCTTCGTAGTACTAGATAGTCTGGTTGTTGAAGTGCAAATTCACGTGATGTCTAATGTAAAAGAGTTCTCCTCGAAAATGCCTGCTTTAGAAACACGTGATGTATAGGTCATGCTCCGAAAGCCAATGTTGTTCCTTCTTTTGTTGAGTACCTTGCTAGTAATCATTTTCAAGTTATTCTAATTGTTACCTCATCTACCTGGAGAAAGGAAAAGCATATTGGAACTTCTTTTGCTAGATACTTTTTTTTAAGTTTTGCATTTCGTATTTCAATGATATGGTTGGGCAAAAATTGTTCTGTTTTACTTTTTTAATGTAAATGTAATTAATAATTTCAAGAACAAGGCATCTATAGCAAAGAAAAAGCCACTCATAGAAGGGTAAAAATACGCCTAAAAACAGAGCTTACTAAAACATCAAAAGAAGGAACATAAGAAATCATCACTTTCTTTAATTCTCACACATCAGGTTCAATTTTTTTTATTCATTTTTTATATCACAAAATAAGTTTTTGAATTTTTTTATGAACATTCCTGATCTGTCATTCATTTTTTAGATCAAATATTTTTGCTTTATTTCGGGACTACAAAGATTAGCAACAAAGAGAGACATTATTTAGTGACAATATAGAGTGACACCAAAAGCTAAATACTTCAAAAAAGAGTGATGCCAAAAACAATCCAAAAAAGAGTGACAATAAGGCCATACAAATTGTATAAGTCTAACGTGTATATGTATATATAGATAAATGCACATATATATTTTGAATTTGATGCTTCATGTACTACAAACAATAAGGTCAAGTGTAGTCTTTATCCAAACATGTGTTATATCGACCCGTTTATCTCTCAATTGACGCACTCTGCAAAAATTAAAGCATCCAAACAAACAAGATTCATGGGTCATCACTACATTAATGACAGAATTATGGAGTCCGGAATAAAACTCTTGCAATCTTTCCTTACTCAAAAAACAGGGAAGAAAACACACTTGAGCAAGCACTTGAGTGCATTATTGTGATTCTGCTGCATTGCATTGCATTGTCTCTTATTGTTTGTCTGCACTTCGATCTTATTATGGGTTTGTTGGCTCATTACCGTTAATTGCGTTGAATAGATTTTTATTTTGGGAGAGACATGTAGCATATTTGTTGATTTTCATTCACACTCACTTTATTTATTTATTGTCACACACTTTTGTTGGGAAACACATCTAAGCATATTTTTTCTCTAGCTCTTCCAAACTAATTCTCTCTCTCGAATTTCTATAGTTTTTCTCTGGCTCTCTCTCTGTGCAAAGACTTTAAGATGATGAAAGTAGTGAAAATCGTTCATGGAGTGTTGGTATAAAATGGAATATGTTAATGATTCAGGTTCTCCACCCCCACCCCCC